CAAAATAATAATAATAAAAGAAAAAAAAATGTAGGATCAAGAAGCATTTAATGTTACATACCTTAATTCGCTTCGTAGCTTTGATTTTTTTTCTTTTTAAATGCTCAAAGTTGAAAGTGGATACAAAATTGCTGCCTGCTGGAAGTGGGTGGTAATTAAACTATGAGAAGAAACAGAGAAAGAGTAAGTGAATTTTAAGATGAAGAAACTGAACAAAAGAAAATAAATTAAAAACAAGAGATGGAAGAGATGAGGAGCATACCTTTTTCTTTAGACTGAAACTTGAGCACTGGAAAGGAAAGACACAGAAGCTTGGAACAGAGGAGAGGATAATCTGAGATGAATGGGAGAACGAAAGGAAATCTTCTTTTAATTTGTTAGGCTGTTTTTTGTTTTTCAAAACAGGCAGAGCATTGGATGCTTTTGCTTTTGACGAAGACCCACTAGTGGCTCTAATTATTGATCCTGGAAAAGAGGAGACTCTGATTTCTTTTCCTCTTTCCTCAAATTTATTTTGTTCATTTCTCACTAATGAAATGAAATTGTCTTCCTTTGCAGCCCACCATAATTTTCGGGAAAGCAAATACTTTAGTTTAAAGCATCTTTGGCTTTTCTAAAAGAAGGCCAAAAAAGAAAGGAAATATTACTAGAAAGAAAAACTGAGCCACAATTAAATCCAACTAGCATCTTTTGCTTTTCGAAATAAATTTTTTGTATGGTGGATGAGCATATCTTTTACAAATAAAAAACTGTTCTATGCAGATTGCAAAACTAAAAATATTAGATAGAGCAAGCTTTAAACTGTTTTTTTTTTTTTAATTTATTAATAAAATTGTTTTTTCATTTTATAATTTTTATTTTACAATTTGAATAAAAAACTTATTTATGTAAATACTCCATTAATCTAGACATATTGACCATCTAATTATAAAACTTTTTTACTATGACAGGTAATTATTGGATATCGTAATTTATAGCAGTATCAAATAATTGACAAGAATGTGAAATTTTTTTCTAAATAAATTTTAACACAGCAGTACAACATCCAAAACTTTTTATTTGACACTATTTGAGTAAAATATCAAATATGTAGTGTCGGAAAGCCATTTTCCATTGAGCATGAAAGTTCATATATATCTTTCTCTCAGGCATCCCTGAGGTACATACGGCTTGTTAATATCTAATCAACTTAGCATAAGTGACATTGTCTATTTTCAAAAAAGAAAAAAAATTAGCATAAGTGAATGAAAATTTTACTTGCTATGATCTAGCATTAATGTCTGAGCCCATGAAACTAATTATTAAACCCATTAACAAATTTAGGCCGAAAACCCATTAACAAATTAAGCCTAGGTCAAGGAAACTAAGTTCAAAACAGTCCAAATCCAAAACCCATTCTAGGTCGGTCTACTATAACAGCTAATAAGGCCCAAGGAAAACTAAGCCCTCAAAATTTTTTAGAGTTTTATATATTTTAGTTCGGATTGTTGGTTAAAAATATAATTTTATTATTTAAATTATTAAATTATTATTAATAAATAAATTTAATGAGAGTATTTTAGTAATTTAAGCGCCTTTAATACCCATGAAAAATACCACCTTATTTTTTTCGATTAAAAAATACTGAAATATAAACAGAAAACGCGAGTTTGTCTCCTTACCCATTACCCTACCTTTCAGGATTTGAAATTCCAAATACAAATCTCCCTCTTCCTCGAGCTCTGATCTCAGGAATGGCACTAAGGATCGTCTACGGCGTGGTGTTCCTCTCCGTCTCCTGTGCCTGCTTCATGTTCCTCCACCTCATTCTCCACCCGATCTTCTACTTCACCTCCTGATCCGTGCTGCTCAAATCGGCTTGGTTTTCCGATTCTTAATTTCGATTTTTCAATACCTTCTGTTATGATTGGTTGAAACCGGAAAGGAAAGGGAAAGTTCTTTTTTTTTTTCTCTTTTTTCCTTTGTTGCCGTGTAATTCCAGACTCTTTCTTGTTTGGTTTTTTATTGGTTGTCTGTTCTGAGATGCCCATTTGTGATTGCTGTTTGTTTTGGTTGTTTCCATGTGGACTCAATTTTAATGTTGATTCCCTGTATTATCTCAATTTTGAGTTTTTTGGTTCATCATGAAATTTGTATGAGCAAACTTTGAAACGCGATTGTCAATGCGTAATGAAAATGATCCGGTTATCTTCTGATTTTCCAAGTTTGAGAGTGTACTATAGAGATTTAATAGTCACAGTCAAAAGATATGGGGTCGAATTGAAGCATACTGGAAATGTGAAGGATTACTCATTTCAATTATGTAATTTCATTCCGATTCCTTGGGCTAAAATGGCCACTAAGGGAGTGTATCAACTGGTTAATTTAGACAAATGGGAGCAATGCGGTGAGATTTTTTTCCATTCTTCTATATTCAGCTTCTTTTTAATTTAAACGAGATGTCATATCTGCATTATTTATGCAATTTTGGACATGAGAGTAACTGCTTGAGCCATTCCTTGGTTTCCTTTTTATTTTATTTATTATAGAGACAAATCCATGGCAGGCTCTTCAAATCTGTTAAATGCTGCTCCAGACATATTGACATAGCAAGCCAAGAATTCCAAGATTAGAGTTCTAAGGATTAACTCGTCATCCAAGTGCTTCATTTAACACATTTCTTAGAAAAGAGAAGTTCAAAGTTCAAATATGAACTGTTACTCCTAATACAAGTAGCCAATTGGTTACAAGGTAGCTCGTGTTTACAGAATTTGTATGTCACTATTGTTCAAACTGTCACTAACACTGAGCTGTGTCTACTGATCTTCCTGTGCATTTAGTTGACTTGCTGACTTTTGGAT